ACGATAATCCATGGACCTTGCTGTGAGCAGTTTCATGTAGGAACTATTTTCTGTCTATAGAACTACACCTGTTAAACGCACCAACACACCAAAAAGCATGTACATCTACACATGGATGAGAGGCTCATGCTCATGACAAATTAAGATGTAAACATTAATGGCATCCTTCAAGTTTGAGCTGTTAAAATATGAAGCCAGTGGAGATGTGCCAAAAACTGCAGTTCCTCTAATGGCCACTTGAGACTGGCTCCAACTGTGGGTCAATTCATATAAACTCCCACGGTGAAAATGTCCAACTTGAGTGCAGAAATAAAAACGTTTACAACCTGGTTTTGGTCTAACTTCAACATTCATGGCTATACGGGAGCTAACTTTAAGATAACTAACCTGTTCACATTTTATAAGGCTTAAAGTTACGCATACGCTTGAGGTTACAACTTTCTGCGATGCAACACAGCCACAGTCTATGAGTCATATCCACCCCTTGTTCCTCCGCAGCTCCACCCTCTCCTTCAAATATGGTCACTTCTGGCTCCAAAGATCCAACATGGCAACAGCGGAAATGCCAAACTCAAGGCTTCAAAACAGGTGTCCACAAAACAGTGGGTCACGTCTCAGTAGCTAGGTCCATTTTTTATACAGTCTGTGATCGGTACAAAGAAAAGTCTGCAGATTATCTGAGTAACACATGATTTCTGGAAAGAGATATTGCTGTTGAGTTTTTCCAACATTTTTTTTTGGTGCTTTGACCATCACAAGCCGAGTGCCAACTAGTTCTAGACTAATAAATAGCACTACAGGTAAGAGGAAAAAATATCCTATGTTTTTTTGATCAGGGGTGAACTGTTCCCTTAACCTTTAGATCCCACTTAGTGTCATCAACTTGCATTTCCTGCCATACTACTGTGCACTGTGATGATTTTAAGTGCACAAAAAGACAAAAAAAATGTCAAGTCTTCCTTCTGAGCCTGCTCAAAATGTAAGTCTGATAAATATCTAAACAGTAGTTTGGAATAGAAAGTAAAAGAAAACACAGGGGAAATTACAGTATGCCATTTTTAAAAGAAAACCTGTAATGGGCCTGCTGATGTCAGCAAACATATCAAACAAAAACACACCCAAAACCCCCCATTGAGATCATATTTATATCCCGCCGTCTTGTATCACATTTATGTCTTCCAAGCCCTGTAATCAAAATTAACACATGGCAGCTAATCCCTGCAGGAAACAGATATTAGATGTGTCTTCACTGCAAACAATCCCATGCATTCCTCAGGAGGGAGTGGCTTTCAGCCCTGTTTGTGTTTTTTTTTATTGTTTGTTTGTTGGATTTCCAGGTAGTAGACTGACACACCCACTTGTTGGCTGTGTATGCCATGAATGCAGACGAAGTAAGAGATAGCAAACAGGTAAACAAAGGTTCATGTGTGCACTTTTAGAACACATACATGTGGTAAATGACAGTTTCGACAGTGTTGTTACCATGTTTGTAAGACAGAGAGAGAGGAGAGAGGGGAGAGACGAAGGGAAAGAAAAACAGACCTCAGGCTAATTACTAAGTTCAGTTAGGGTGTGCCAACGTGATGTTAGACAACCTTCTACACAAACTTCCTCACAAGCCACAGTGCAGTTTTTCTTATTTGCTTCCTCTTGTTACATCACACCAGTCAGTCCTTTTCCAAAAAGTGTCAGAATCAAAATGGTACAGTCTGCTAAGCCTGTATTCTGCAATAAATATTATAATATCTTGCATTGAGAGGAGGCAGACAGGAGAGAGATCAGACAGAGAGAAGATGAATGTCTCTCTACAAAGAATATGTTATGCCCTTCACTGGCCTCTAGAGAATGCTGATGCTCCATCGTTTTATTGCAGTTTTTTTTTCTGTCAGACAGAGGGGAGAGAGAGAGAGAGAGAGAGAGAGAGAGAGAGAGAGAGAGAGAGAGAGAGAGAGAGAGAGAGAGAGAGAGAGGGAAAATGTTAAGCAGACAGAGAAGCAGAGATCTCATCTCCCCTATTAAAACTAAGCAGCCACATCATCTGTGATAAAGAAAGAGGCAGCATCCAAGAAAAGCTACAGTCAGTTGTCAATAGGGATGCTGCTGTCTAAATACAAGCTATTCCAGATGATTTAATTGGACTGAGCAACAGATTTAATATTTAGACTAGAATCAGCGCCTAGCAGCTGTATGCCTCTGCACACCAGTCAAGTTGTAGTTACAGTTCACATCCATGTCAGTGAAAACATGGATGCTTCACACACACCTTGCCCCCTGACAGCACAGAAGATCTATACTATCAACACAGTTTCAAAATGGGCACCCATGATTAGTGTCACCAATTCAGTATCTGACCAAATGTCTCCCATCTGTTCTGAGTTTGAAACTTTGACCTTTTGGATATAAAATATCATCACTTTTATTATATTATTCTATTCGACATTTGTGGATTTTTTTTTTGCGTGATTAGCATATGAATTCCTGAGTTATGGCCAAAAACATGTTTAGTAAGGTCACAGTGACCTTGACCTTTGACATTTGACATTTGACCACCAAACTCTAATCAGTTCAGTCTTGAGTCCAAGTGGATGTTTGTGGCAAATTAGAGGAAATTCCCTCAAGGTGTCCTTAAGATACTACGTTCACGAGAATGCGACAGACGAGGTCACAGTTACCTTGACCAAATTTTAATCAGTTCATCCTTGACTCAAAGTGGATGTTTGTGCCAAATTTGAAGAAATTCCCTCAAGGTTTTCTTGAGATACTACACTCACAAGAATGCGACAGATGAGGTCACAGTTACCTTGACCTTTTACCTCCAAATTTTAATCAATTCATCTTTGACTCAAAGTGGACGTTTGTGCCAAATTTAAAGAAATTACCTTTAAATGTTCTTGAGATATTAGGTTCACAAGAATGAGGCCAATGTTGGCTGACACTGACCTTAACCTTTGACATTTGACCAGCAAAATCTAAACAGTTCATTGTTGAGTCCAAGTGGACATTTGTGCCAAATTTGAAGGCGTTCTTGAGATATCGCATTCATGGACAGACGGATATACGAACATATGTATGGATGGACGTACAACCTGAAAATATAATGCCTCCAGCCATGGCTATCATCAGTGCAGAGGCTTAAAAACCAGCAGCTTTTTGGTGAGAGTAAAGAAATGATATCACTGCTATACATGATCAGCGCTTCACTTCACTTAACCACCCACCACAGCACATTCAATATAAGAAGGAAGAGGCTCACTCAAACACATGAGCGATGATGTGGACATGCTTAAGTTTTCTTTTTATTCCCCTCACCGACAACAATCATACACTGGAAAGCTTCTCATCATCCGCCCGGTTGAACAGTCCTGATCTGAAATCTTCATTTCTCTCTTCATAAACTTCATCTTCATAAACTGAGGACACTGAGATGGAGCAAAAACACTGAGTGCAGCATATGCCTCCGTTTATTTGTGAAGCAGTGTTTAAGTGTAAAATAACCATTAAAGCAAGCAGTGCACAAAATGTTAGCAAACCAGTAGTCTGCCATTGTTGAGAGGCCGAAACATAGTTGAAAGATCGGTTTTCAAAAATATCTGTATACATGTAGACGGGGCCTAATCATATCCCTCTAACACGAATACACTGCTTTCACCACTGTTTTCATTATGTGAGCATGTTGGTGTCAAATTCCCATTATCATAGTGCACGTCACCACTGTTGCCAGGAAACTATACTGGTTTTGATGCAGGTTGGACTGGTGAAACCACATTAGCATAAATGGCTAATGTGGGACCATTCGAGTCAGCTGCAAAGAAGTTGAAACTGAACACCACTCTTTCACTGCACCCCTAGAAAGAAACCCCCAATACATTATGTTGCGCTTGGATATTATCCTCTCCCCCATACATTTGTAAAGCATTTTATCTTGTTTATTTATCTCCTATCATCCAGTGCTATAGACCTCCCGAGGATATCATTATCACTGCTTGTCCATCGTGATTAAATATCCATAAATCCACATGGGAACCACTGAAAGAAGACGCTACAGAATGTTTTCATCAGTATCAAATCCTGATATTTCTCAAGTTACCACTAATGATGTGAATGGGACAAGCAAACATATATTTTCTTCTTCTTCTTGCTAGCATTTGTTTTGGGAGCGAGTAAAAGAGAAATGCAACTTCTTTTAAATACTCCTTTTTTTTCTTTTTTCAACACAGCTGTTTGCAGGACGCATAGTGATGAGGTAATATATCACTTTGTTGCTGTATAAGAATAATAACTGTCGTATGACAATGGCGAAACAGAGTAAACTTTATTGTAGCCACCAACTTGAATGCATGTAGAGATGGAACCTGAATACCTGTCAGAAAGAGGGACAATTCAGGATCTGTTTTGAATCCTTTCAAATCCCAC